GTGTATGTGTGTGTGAATGTGTTAGTGTGTGCGTGTATGTGTGTGTGAATGTGTTAGTGTGTGCGTGTATGTGTGTTTGTGAATGCGTTAGTGTGTACGTGAGTGTATGTATGCGTGTATGTATGTATGTGTGTACATGAGCATGTACAAATACTATATCTAAACATAAGGAAAAAAATAGTTACAAAATTCCAATACATTTACCAATAACAACCACTAAACCTTTCGAGATACTTAGTCTTGCTACAAAAAAAGCTACTTTTATACTGTGGCGACTGAATACCCATTACAACATTTATAGAACAACAAAACTACTTTATATACTTTACAACAACAGCCTTTCCTTGCCCATGCAAAACAATTCTCTATTCTGATCTCCTAAATAAAATAAAGAATATATATTAAATGAAGAGAAATATAGGTATAATCTAAAACAAAAAGTTTATTGTGGCTGTAATTCAAATTGATTTACATATATTTTCTATTTTCTTACATATATTCTTTTTGACTATGCACCTTTTTAGAAATTGTTTACAAAAAAAAAAAAAAAAAAAACGGATTTAATTCCATTAGAAAAGTACTTAAAAGCAATTTGAAGTACTTTTCCTCTCTTAATATCTTAGCATAATGTGCTTCGTCGTTTTTTGAGAGATCGCGGGAGTAACATGAAATCATTACTGACCGAAGTTAATGTCCTCTGATAAAAGAAGAAGAAGAAGAAAAAAAAAAATCCTGGTGCATTAGGCTCAGAGCGATGGCGATTTCTAGTCAAGCTTGCATATAAACTTGATAAACAATAAATCAAACTAGCTTTTTGTTGATAAGTATATATATATATATATATATATATATATATATAATAATATATTATATATATACAACAATATATATATAATATATATATATATATATATATATATATATATATATATATATATATATATATATATATATATATATATATATAATATTTATATATATATATATATATATATATATATATATATATATATATATATATATAATCATTTGCCTTTTGTTAACTTGCTGATAATCGTAATCAAAATTTGTTTCTTGCCAATAATTACTTGTTTAATGGTGATAATCATATACAAAACTTGCAAATTGTTAATTATTATAAAAAAAAATTGCTTATTGCTAATAATCATAGATTGGACTTGATTATTAATAATAATTATAAATAAAACTTACTAATTGATACACTAAGTGAACCTGTCACTAATAATTATAAACTTAATCATCGCTAATATTTAAAACTTTACTGCTAATAATCATAAACTCGTTTTTGGCTAATGATTACAAGCTTCTTCATTACTTGTGATATTACCTATGATATTGACATAGCACGTTTCATATTTTCTCTGAAAATACCATACACACCAGTTTTGAATTTCTGAAGCTTCAAAATATATGGCACATTTCTCACCATGTGAACATCGTCATTCACCACATCCACTATATAAACAAACAAGTATTCATTCATCGATAAAGAAAAGAAAAAAGAAAAAAATGTCACAATTCATTATACATCAAAAATTGTATTCACTATAAGATATAAATAAACTGTAATAATCAAACAAGTATTCGTTTATCATAAAAAATAAGGAAAGAAAAGAAAGAGAGCCACCACTGCCACCATTTACCAAAAAGAAAAGAAAAAAGAAATTGTCACTATTCACTATACATCAAAAATTGTATTCACTATAAGATATAAATAAACTATACAAGCAAACAAGTATTCATTCATCAATAAAAAAAGAAAAGAAAAAATCCACCGCTGCCACCATTTACAAAAAAAAGAAAAAAAAATCGTCACTATTCACTATAAAACTGCACTCACTACAAGAAACCACTCACTTTTACGTTCCTCTGTGTATGATGGAGCCTGAATGACAGATTCCTCTTACAATTTACGATAAGCTATCTCAACATCGAATTGAGATCGGGAAAAAAAAGACACACACACAAAAGAATTACGAAAGGCTGCGCTAAGTTAATCTGCTTATCAGTGTGATTAGGGTCATGTTGCTTGACCGTGTACATGTCTGCAGTCATGCGTTTGTACGTGCGTTCTGAAAGGGTTGAAATGACTGGATATAACGGGTTTTAGTTATTTTTCCTCCTTTTTCTTCCTCCTTCAGATTGTGTCTATTCTTGTTATATTTCATCTTATCGAATCTATCAGGTCGGAAATACATTTACGTTTATACATATATATTATATATATATATATATATATATATATATATATATATATATATATAATATATATACTTATGTATATATATATATATATATATATATATATATATATTATATATATATATATCAGTGTGAGTGTGTGTGTGTGTGTGTGTGTGTGTGTGTGTGTGTGTGTGTGTGTGTGTGTGTGTGTGTGTGTGTGGTGTGTGTGTGTGTGTGTGTGTGTGTGTATACATACATATATACATATATATATATATATATATATATATATATATATATATAATATATATATATATATATATATATATATATATATAGCGAGAGAGAGAGAGAGAGAGAGAGAGAGAGAAGAGAGAGAGAGAGAGAGAGAGAGAGAGAGAGAGAGAGAGAGAGAGAGAGAGAGAGAGAGAAGCGAACATGCCTGATTTCTGTGCACATGAAACACGACCAAGTTCATCAATATGTTCTGCAAAATATTGCAAAAGGAGAACATTAAAAGGGGAAACAATGGCGAAAGAGGGGAAGAGAGAAAGGATACGAG